CTATTTTTCTCTTAATAGACACAAGAAATATTTCCAGGTAGCTACAGAGACTTTATAAAATGTCCTACTCTTTCACTGGGCAGGACAGAGACTCTGAACCTATGTGGAGGGATCACAGTCCCTTGGGAGAGTCAAATGGTGCTCCCTCATCATACAATACAAACTCAAAAAGTGTAATTAAACTGAAGGGGTTCATGAACCCCAGTTACAACTCCTTAGCCTGGTAAATGGACCTTGATCGAGTCAACCTGTCTCTGTCGTCAGACGCTTCTACAGTGGCGCAAACAGTTAAGTGCTCAACTACCAACTATAAAAGTACGCAGTTTGAACCCACCCAGAGGTGCTTCATAAGAAAGCCCTGGCAACCCGTTTCTGAAAGGTCACAGCCTTGGAAAGCCTTGTAGTGCAATTCTACTCTGCACACACGAGATTGCCAACAGTCAGAATCCCCCCCACACACCTGGTTTGGCTTACTGTGGTGGGCTATCTAGGCTCCCCCCCATGACAGAGACCCTTCATGCCCATCTCATCCCCTCCTGGTGACTGGGATGACTTCATAGGATGCGTCCCAGAAGGGGCACACTGACCCCCAGTCACAATGATGACAGGTCTGTCGTCACACAGGGCACCTGTCACAAGACAGTCACCCAGCGGGCTCTTTTAGACTGGACAGAGGCGGACGACAGGATGTCCACCTGGTGGTCGTCCTCATCTTCATCGCAGTGTGGCTCTGTAACAGCCTGGGTCCTCACCATGGCTCTGCCAGCCACCCACTCAGCTGCCCCGTTTCCTCCTTATTCAAGGAGACCAGGGACGAGGGGTCAGGAATCCCCACTCTAAGCCACTGAGAAATTCAAACAGGACTAACACGCAAATGTGGAAGGCCCAGGGCGCACACCACTGCCCTTCAGAAATCACTCAGCCCTCCTGGGAACCACCTTCCTGGAGAGGCATGTTTGGGGACTCTTGGACCCCTCGAGTCAGTGCCACATGGAGTTCTCCACATTAGCCACCAGGGGGAGCCCGTGAGCCAGCCTCCGACTTGCCCCTGGAGTGGGGGGGGGGGGGGGGGGGTTGCGCATTCACAGTTAGATTGTTATTGCTAAGTGCCATCCCTTCACCCTGTCACTTCTGACTCATGAGGAACTCCATTCCACGGCTGGAGGAGACGGTGGGTGGTACAGCCAGTTAACACACTTGGCTGCTAATGGAAAGTTTGGAAGTTCGAATCCACCCAGAGGAGCCTGGGAAGAAAAGTCTGGCGGTATACATTAAAAAAAAAAAAAATCTACAGAGCACAGCTCTACCCTGACAGGCAAAATTGGCCCTGAGTCGGTTTTCAATCCCAGGAATAGTCACGGTGCCTTCGAGGCTCTCCGGCCAGCCCTGTGAGGTGTGTGACCACCAGAATGTTGGTGCTAAGGGTCACATACCCCATGTGCTCACACTGTTGCCCCTGTCCACAGCGGGACCCTGGCTGCACTTGGGAGTCTCCAGATGTGGAGGTGAAAAAGGGGTCTCTGTCTGAGTTCCACCCTCAGGGATTCTGATTTAATTGGGATGGGAGTTTAAAAACCACGAAGGGGGATCACAGGAGCCCCTTTCTACAGCATGCATACGGGGACCCTCTGATCCATCTCTGCAGAGGGGTTGGGGTCGGGGAGGAGGAGCCAGGGGGAGACTATATACAAGGCTTGCAGTCTGGTATGAAGAATAAGGATTGAGTGTGTATGTTCTGTGTGGTGTCCCCTGGGGGTGCGGGGGGTGCAGACTGAACCCAGCGATGCTGTCAGAGGGGGTAAAACCAGACTGACAGCTTATAACATTCCTGTGCAGAGTGTCTGAAGTCATGTGTTCTTTTCAATACAGATATCCCTGTAGTTGGTCATAGGGCCTTGTAGGATAGACGAAAGGTCAGCAGTTCAAACCCACCAGTTGCTCTTGGAAACCCTACGCAGGTCACTTATGAGCCGGAACGGACCCAACAAGAACAACACTAGTTATAACAAAGGCATTTTCATAAAGCCCAGCTTACGTGGATCAATGTATCTATCCACAAGGCTAAACATGACACACTTACTTTTAATCCTCTTAATACACTCCTAAGGGGTTCTGGGGGTAGGGGCGCTGTAGGGTCAGCACTGGACTTCAAACCACAAGGTCAGTGGTTCAAACTCACCAGCTGCTCCTCAGAAACCCTATACAGGGTAGCTGTGGGTCAAAACCAATTCTAGAGTTCACAACAGAGACAATATCACATATTATTGTCTGGTTGAAATTGACGCTAAATATTACTAAGGATTCTGTATCGTCTGGTACAGGAGGCGGTCCATGGGGTGGGGGTGGGGGGGACACCATGAGTTAAGCACTGGGCCCAAACACCCAGACCTGGCTCAGCTTCTGTGTCCATTACTGGGGGAAACGCAAGTTCCAGGGTTCACCCAGCCCCTTGGAAGCTCCCTGTGGTGGCTGGGACCCCAGGCAATGCCCACCACATCCTGTCTTAAGGTGTGGCTTTTCCAAGTCACAGGGAGGAGGGAGGAGTCCCATCTGTCTCCACTGGCCCCAGACCACGGCTGTTCTGGCCTCACCCAGCAACCCCGTAGGCACCTCACTCGGAGCCTCAGAGTCTCCCCAACCAGGCTCCAACGACGCTGTGGGCACTTGGGGTTGCTTCATTCTCAGGCTGGGAGCCATGCTGTGCACTGCAAGGTGTCAAGCAGCATCCCTGGCCTTCACACACCCCTAGTCTCGACAAACTGTCTCCAGACACTGTCTTCTGTCCCCTAGTGCCTAGGTCAGAGCCGACGCTTATGGGCAGCAGGAAGTCTGGGCATCCCAATCGTGTGAAAGAAAGTGCCCCCAGCCCTTCAGCAGTTCTCATGTGCAGCCAGGAGGACCCCAAGATAGAGGAAAGGATAAGGGGGCATAACCCCACAAAATGCACAAACCTATTCCCATTTTAAGGAGCTCTGGTAGTGTAGTGGTTACGAATCGGCTGCTAATCTCACGGTCAGCAGTTGGAAACTACCAGCTGTTCCAAGGGAGAAAGATGAGGCTTTCTGCTCCCGTAAAGATTTACAGCCTCGGAAACCCTGTGCAGGGTTGCTATGAGTCGGAACCAACTCCACGGCACATAACAACAACATTCCCATTTTACAAGCAAGGAAACTGACACTCCACACAGACATATCACCTTCCCAGGTTTATGGTCACTCAGCGAAGGCCAATCCAAGCTCCAGAGATGGAACTGGCTCTATTTCTGCTTCTGTTCCTAGACTCTCAGCTACGAGACCACAGCCAGCTCTCTGGGGCAGAGTGAGGGGTAGACAGGACTCAGACTCTCCCTTCCACGCGAACCCCAGGATGATGCTCCGACACTTACCCAAGGGTATCACTGTACTGCCCAAGTGGTACCACCAGGGGGCGCACTCACTAAAGCAGCCGAATGGAGAGCTGGAATTTCATCCCAGGCCCAGAACGCCACACAGTTCAGCCAACCTCATCTGGAACCTAGAGTCCTGGGTTCTGGCTGACTGAAGGCACGTGCAACTTCAGAGAAATGTTATCAGTTCATCCTTGGGCTTTAATGGATCACATCTTACTGAAGGGATAAAATCAAATTCCTTCCTGCTCAGCCAGAGGAGAGGTCTGGTACGGTGCTGTAAGTTAATGCGCCCGACGGCAAGGTCGGTTTGAACAGCAAGGTTAGCGGTTCAAGGTCAACAGCTGTTCCTCAGATACCCGTTACAGGATCACTATGAATCAGAACAGACTCAACAGCAGTTAACAACAGTCAGAAGACCGGCTCAGCTCGACAGCACTTAACAGCTAACCTCTGGTAGCGTAGTGGTTACGAATCGGGCTGTGAACCTTAAGGTCAGCAGTTCGAAACTACCAGCTGTTCCATGGGAGAACGATGAGGCTTTCTGCTCCCGTAAAGATTTACAGCCTCGGAAACCCTGTACAGGGTCGCTATGAGTCGGAACCGACTCCACGGCACATTACAACAACAACAACCACAAGGTGTGGCGCTGTGGGTTAATGCGCCAGACTGCAATGCAGTTTGAACTGCAAGGTTGGTGGTTCAAGCTCACCATCTGCTCCTCAGAAACCCTAAACAGGGTCGCTATGAGTCGGAACCAACTCTACAGCATTTAACAACCACAAGGTCAGAGGCTCACACCTACCAGCCACTCCTCAGAAACCCTATCTATGCAGGGCCTCTATGGGTCAGGACCGAGTCAACGGCACTTGAGAACACCACTAAGGCCTGGTCACGGAGGCAGGGCTGGTCAGCAGCCATCATGCACGGCCCACAGCTGGAGCCCCATGCTGAAGGCCACAGTTTGATTACCACCAAGTTTGACTGAAAACCTAGGAGAGCCGGAGCTACGTCTGGAGTCACAGGAAGGGTTGTGGGACTCAACTGTGACTCCATCGGGCACTTGCTCTAGCTGCACAGGACAGCATCGAAGTGACCGCCTGCACAGGACACGAGGCTGCCTGGTGGCTTCTTTGACGTCTGGCACCTCCCCCACCAGGTAGCCAAGCAGGACAGAAGTCAACCTTGCCCACTGAGGATCCAGCAAACGGGATGCCATGGCAGATGCCCCCAGCATCGTGGCAGCCCCCCTGGGCTGTACTCCACCCTCACAGGTTCCCCCGCCCCCCACACACACACACAGCAGGACTGAGGTCCCCCAGGGGAGGGCGGGGCCACAAGGCTGCAGGGGCGCCTTGGGGTCTGGAGCGGTCACACTGCAACAAGACTGGGTCTCGGCGCCCCCATAAATCTACGGACCATTCAATGAGAAAAGTATTTATTGCTCAGCTTTCCCCCAGCCTCGCCCTACCAGGCGCTCAGTCTTACGGGGGGGCCTTGTAAAGAGACCAAGGCTGCGCTGGGAGGCCTGGGTGCTGGCCTTCTCAATGCAATGCCCCAAGGCCAGGCCTGTGGGTCCACCCAGAGAGCCCAGTCCACCCATCCCGCCACTCACCTGCCTTCGCTTTCCAGAAACACGGAGCTACTGCTCTCGGCCAGCACGGCGCTGATGGGGGAGAGGCAGAAAGGCGACGAGAAGGTGTCCGAGTCCGAGTCGAAGGAGCTGTCTCTGCTCACGCCTTCGGCCGACAGCTCCAGGGAGCCCTCCTCCTCGCCGGCCTCAGGCCGAGGCTCCCGGACCTCCTCAGCCCCTTCCTGCGAGCTGACCGAGGACAGCATGCGGGGGTCCGGCTGCGAGACTGGGAGGGCACCGTCCCCACCTAGGCCTGGGGTCAGCTTCTCCCCGTCTTCCAACGAAGGGCTGCGGGGCATGGTGATCCGGGAGCTCTGGGCCACCACCAGGATGTCCTCGTCCCTGGGGGTCAGGGCCGATCGGGGCTCCATGGAGGCCCCTGAGCTGTGGGTGCGCCGAGCCCGTGGGCGGGGAGCCTTGCGCACCGGGGAGCTCTCGGGGGTGATGTAGCGAAGCGCCTCCTCATCCTGCCTCTGGATCCGAGAGTTGGGGACCCAGGCGAGGATGAGGGTGGTGCCCAATAGCTCATCCTTCTCCATGTACAGGCACAGGTACCCTACGAGAGGCCAGGGTGGGGGGTACGGAGGGTCAGAGAGGATATCCCTGGGCCCTGTTCAGTCCATCCGCACCTTCCAAGGACACCCTCCCAGGCGCGGGGAGACACCACCCAGTGTTCAGAACCCCTCACCCCGTCAGCATTGATAGGAGGATGCAGGCTGGAGATCCTGCTCTAGTTCGCCAACAGAAGACACCAGAATAGGGCCTTAAGCTTCTCCCAACAGCCTTGCGTGGCCCTCTCGGGGTACTTTGGGGAGTTCTTTTATTGCAGTTTTTGAGAGGGGTCATTTTTCAAAGCTGCTTGGGGAGCTCGCTCACACCCTGGGTCACTGACAGAAATGGGAGAGGGATGTACCCAAGGCCAGCGGCGGGTCAAGTGGCACCCAGCTGGCACTCTCTCCTGGATGCCCAGTGTTCAGGGAAGGTGGCGTTTCTTCACACAGCACCAAGCCTTTCCTTCCAGGATGCCCTGACTCCCCGGCCAGTGTCAACACATCCCCCAAAAGGGACCACATCTCTCAGGGCCGTGGCTCTAGGAGGCAAACCCAGAATCTTACCACCATGCCTGTTGTGTGTGTGAGGCCTATGGGGTTTATACACCCTCCAAGGATGCAGGTTTGAGATTGGGAACGGAGCCTCAGATGGCAGCTCCCCTGGACCACCAATCACCCCTTTTAGACCACCACCTCTGGGGCACTGCTTACCAGACCACCCTCAGACTGAAAGGTACCCTGGTGATACTGTGGAATAAGCATTGGACTGCTAAATGCCAGGTAGGAGGTTTAAACCTACCAGCCCCTCCCGTGGGGACAGATGGTGTTGTCAGCTCCTGTCAGGATTGACGAGTTTTACTCTGTCCTGTCTAGGTTGGAATTGACTCCGTAGCGGGTTTAATTGTGTTTTGTAAGGGCAGGGTCTGCCTTGAGCACAGTTCTCTATTAAAGACGTCTTTATGGGAGAAAACGGACAACAGAAACTGGAGACTTCAGGCTGGAATCAGTAAGTTTATGTTCCTGAGGGAGGAACAGCTTGGAGAAGGAGGTAGAGCCACCAGATCCTGAAGACCCTCAGCCCCTTCTAGAGCCCACTAGTAGAGCGAACGAAACTAAAAACTCCCTGTCAAATCAATTCTGATTCACAGCGAGCCCGTCTACACAGCAGAGCAAGACTACCCCATATACCTTCTGAGACTGTTCATGTTTACACGGGCAGACAGCCTCATTGTTCTCCCAAGGAGTGCGGCTGGTGGGTTTGAACAGCTGACCTTGTGGTTAGCAGTTCAATGTTTAACCCACAATCCCTGCCACACATCCAGGGTCTAAGCTGGGTTTTTTGTTTTTGTTTTGTTGTGTTAGGGAGAGGGCTGTGGATAGATATACAAGTAGCTGTCCTCACAAAGAAGAATCTCCCCGCTCGCTCCAGGAAGTAAGCCAAACCTCTGTATGTGAGGGTCTCTGCAGGAAGAGCTAGGAAATATGGAGCCTGGTGGTATCCAGGGGGCTGTGGAAGCAACTCCATCCTTGCTGACCCATTGGGAACTCTCCTCCCTCTTCAGAGAGGTGGGCAGGATGGGCAACGAAGGGACCAGGAATTCCAGGCCCCACCCTCTCAGCAGAAGGAGAAGAGCAGGAATACACTTCCAGCTCACAAGGGGTCGCCCTAGCGGAGTGCCCCCATACCACGCTGTGTGATCCGAGGTCACCCGCTCACCTGGGTGGTGCTCACCCAGCCCCTGCAACCCCTCGGGTGGGTGCACGCAGACATTGTTCTTGGAGTAGATGATCTCGCCATCCAGAACGGAGGGGGGCCCGCCGCCGCCACCCGGGGTGAGCGTCAGGAGGTCCGAGGCTTTGGAGGAGGCTCGTCGGAGGAGGCGGCCCAGAGACATGGCCGGGGGGGTGTTCCCATCCTCTGCACGCGTCGGCCCAGGTGGGGCACCTCAGACCTGCTGGGGGCACAGCGAAGAGATGCACCGAGGGACCCAGGGCTTGTCCTTCTGTAGGGGGCGTTAAGGAAGGGAAGGGTCCTACCAGGGCAGAGCAGGTCTCTGGGAGGTGGGGCTGTCGATTAGCAGTATCCCTGGACTCTACCTACTAAATGCCGGTTGCCTTCCCACCCTCCTTGTGACAACCAAAAATGTTTGTGGCTATTGCCAAATGTCCCCTGGGGATGGAAAATCACCTCCCAGTGAGCACGGCTGGGCAGGAGGACACCTGCTCCCACCATTACGGTGTCCTCAGCTGCCATCGAGTCGGCTCTGACTCCTGTCGTCCTGCCATTCCGACTCATAGCGACCCTGTATAGGGTTTCAAGGAGCAGCTGGTGAGTTAGAACTGCTGACCTTGTGGTTCAAATCGACCTTGCTGTCCAGTGCTGAAGCTACACCGCCACACTAGGACTTCAAAGTATATACTGTCGTTAAGTGCTATCAAGTCCGTTCCTACTCATAGCAACCCTACATAGCGTAGTGGTTATGAATTGAACTGCGAACCTCAAGGTTAGCAGTTCGAAAGTACCAGCAGTTCCACGGAAGAAAGATGAGGCTTTCTGCTCCCGTAAAGATTTCCAGCCTCGGAAACCCTACGAGTCAGAATTGACTCCACGGCACACAACCACCACCAACCATAGGGTTTCCAAGAAGCAGCTGGTGAGTTTGAACTGCCAATCTTTCGCCACCCCAGGATATATATACAAGATGAAGCAAAGCCTTGCCTGGTCCTGCACCACCTCATGATAAGTCCTGGTGGCTCTGTAGGATAAGCACTGGACTGCTAGCCACAAGGTTGGCAGTTCAAACCCACCAAGACAAAGACGAGACTTTCTGCTCCTAACACTTAACCCACTTTCCACCAAGTCTCCTTTTCAGCATGCAACAGACAAAGAAATAAACAATGCTAATTCTAAAACCTTCACGTATCACAAACGATGTGTGGAATGAGGAACTCGTGGCCTTGGTAACTTGCTCCCAAAAAGCCACAGAACCCTGTGGAACACAGTTCTACTAGGGGTGCACGGGGTTGCCGTGATTCACGACCCACTTGGTGACATTGGGCTGTGTTCTCTTCAAGAACTGCAAAGTCAGTGGCTAACGAACCCGTGGAAATGAATCCCCCACACTTCAAGAACAGCCTTGTGCAGTCGAAACATAACATCAGCCAAAGCAGTCAATTTACATTAGTGGTGCAAACAAAACAAGTGAAATTAATTTTCATAGTATATTTTAATTACCCAATATCTCCAAATGTTATTATTTCAGCACTCGGTCAATATGAAAAGCTCAGAAATGTGGTATTTCTCATTCGTTACAGCTGTGTGCTCTGTTTGCGCTCCCAGCACCTTCCTTTGGCTCATCTCCCATTCCATGTACAGCGGCCACCACGGCCTCCATGCTGGGTTAGACACAAGCCCACCTCCCCGTTAACCTCTCATGGGTTTACTGTCATCATCCTAATCCTCAGACGTGGCTGCAAACACCCCTCAGCTGTTCCCCCAAATCACAACCATTTTAAGTGAAGATATTCTGTTGCCATTTTGAAAGGAATTGTAAGATAAAAGCATGAATAGCCATTTCCCTGGTATCATCAGACTGGAACCCCATCATTCATTATAGAACCGGAAAGCAGGCAAAGTCATTTAGTCCCGCACAGAGGGCGAGGCCTGTCTCTCCAGGCAGTTACGGATCCAACTACACCCAGGTCCCCAGGGATTGTCCTGGGAGGACAATGCCTTCTACTAAATCAAGGCAAGTCCTAATAATTGCTACTGAGTCAGTTCGAATTCATGGTGCCCCCGTGTGTGTCAGAGTAGAACTGTGCCCACAGGGTTCTCAGTGGATGATGTTTCATAAGTAGATTCCACTCATGGTGTCCCCATGTGTGTCAGAGTAGAACTGTGCCCACAGGGTTCTCAGTGGATGATGTTTCATAAGTAGATTCCACTCATGGTGCCCCCGTGTGTGTTAGAGTAGAACTGTACCCCACAGGGTTCTCAGTGGATGATTTTCATAAGTAGATCCCACTCATGGTGCCCTATGTGTGTCAGATGAGAATTGTGCCCACAGGGTTCTCAATGGATGATTTTCATAAGTAGATCCCACTCATGGTGCTCGTGTGTGTCAGAGTAGAACTGTGCCCATAGGGTTCTCAGTGGATGATGTTTCATAAGTAGATTCCACTCATGGTTCCCCGTGTGTGTCAGAGTAGAACGGTGCCTCACAGGGTTCTCAGTGGATGATGTTTCATAAGTAGATTCCACTCATGGTGCCCCCGTGTGTGTTAGAGTAGAACTGTGCCCCACAGGGTTTTTTCAAGGCCCTCCTCTCTCCAAATTGCTCCTCCCCATGGACAGCAACTCAC